CCACATATAAATAAAATAAAATAAAGGTCCATTGACAACTAAAAAAAAAAAAAGTTTCCAATAAGATAGTCCATTGTGGGTGTGTGAAGTTCCGTAGCTAACTCTGAGGTTGGAGTCAGTGTAGCTTCAAAACTGAGGAGATTTTGTTCATAATTATCTCCTGAACCATTATTATTTGTAAGCACCTATTTTGTGTAGAGCCTGAGAGTCAAAAAATAAATAAAGAAATAAAGAGAGGGATATCACAAGAGTGACATCCTCTTATAGAACAATAATGAAGTTTTTATTACAAAAGGTAAGTGTCTGCAATTGATACTTATAGAAAAGCCAATTGAAAGAATAAAGGGGAAGAATCCCCAAGGGTAGGTTCAGAAAGGAAAGGACATGGAAGAAGGAGACCTGGGCTGGTGTCCACTCCCCAGTCAGAAGCAGTGATAGCAGCACAGCTCAAGACAACTTTTTCTCATCAAGAGAATGATCTATATCTGAGCTGTGTCATATTCACAAGGGAGTATCATTGAGGGGAAGGGAACATGAGATAAAGTATGAACATAGGTGTGTGTCTGGATAGTTCTGTGAACAAAATATAATCTACTTTATTGGATATGATGAATGCTAATGTGGGAAAGGAAATTCGGAACTGGAGCATGTCGTATTTGAAGGCAAAGGACCAGTTATGTCTTTGGGACATCTAAAAAGAAGACTATCTGGGATGAAGAAGAGCTGAGGAGGGATTAAAGGAAGGAAGGAAATCCTTGGCATGTCCAGAAGAGAGTTAATAATGATCAGAACCAGGGTCCTGTTACCACACAGCCATGAGATACAGGTGACAGGAGAAATGAGCAAATCTCTATTACCCACTCCGTGTGAAAGGCCCAAAGAGGGAGGTCAAAGGCAATGTACACTTTTGAGCTGAACAATGATACTGTTAAAAATGAAAGAATATACTGTTTTGTCTTGTGTGAGACAAATTGTGAACTTGTATGTACAAATATCGAGGTAGGGATGGTGGGGAGGTATCATCAGGTAGAATGGTCAACAGGCAGTTGAAGATCTTGAACTGAATTGGAGGGAGTTAAAAGGGGAGTAGTTGTGAGCTTGAGAATAAAGGAGTTTCTTGTGTGTGGTTGGCCACTAACATCATGACATTGAAGTCATGATTCCCAAACTTGGTACCAAGGCACTCTCAGGCACCACACTGAACTCACTGGGGCATGTGGG